TCCTGGCGTTCTCTTCGTCCCCTGAGAGCTCGTCGGCTCAATGGCTCACCACAACAGGGGCACTTTAGCAAGGATTTAGCCGTTTGGAGGTTCATTGGTGTGTGTTGAGCACTACCACCTCATCTCTAAGCGTTGCCACTTCCCGGCCACGATGAGGCACCTTGCCTTCGGGAAGATGGACAAATATGAAAGCTAAACTCAAAATTTTTGGTGAAAAGCACGGACACGTAGCATCCCCCTTAATTTGAGCTTCCCAGTTCTTCTGGCCTCAAAAGAGCAATTTTCTAGCCAAAAACTCCACTTAACCGCGCGTGAAACCCAGACGTTCGTGAAAGAAAAATCTAAATTTGCTGGGTCGCAGGTGGGCAGGAAGCCTTCTGCAATTCCGACTTACTTGGTTTTTGAATTGAAAACTTTGGACAAAATGTGTTGCAGCACAAAACGCATAACACTAAGAATAATTAGCAGCTGTGAAAAACCAAGAGTTCTTCCAGCTATTAATTGTTAAGGATCAGTCGGATGCAACAAATCCCAACAACGCACCACGAAAACTAACCGTTTTACCTATGAAATTAGCTGCAAATCCGTTTGAAAATCCTTTCCCTATCAAGCCCACTAGGTCAAAGCCACGACAACGATCCAGCGACGAAAGGCGAAGTAAAAATGTTTGGAATTTTTCAGGTAATTCTCAGCTTTATTACAACTTTTAAGCTGCTCAGCTGGCTGCTGACTGTAACAAAAACTGCGTTTCTGCCAATCGCATTACTTCAAGCACTCAGTACAACAGAATTTGCTTGTTTCTTGCCCTGTACTAACAACCTCTCCGCTAATAAATACTGATACTGCAGATCGACTGAGACGTATGCGTCATAAGTCAGACGTAGGAAGTAGCAACTCAGACGCTTCCGCTTTGGCAACGATGTGAACTGTTATCATCAAGTGAGTGTGATAAGGAAAGAGCCGCATCAATCTTGAAAAAACGATTTATTTGGTGAAAATGAAGCCACTGTTATGATGTTACGAAGATTCGACCCCCAAAGTTCCAGCTCAGGTTACTATCATAAAGTCACAATGATCAGACCACGAACTTTTGAATCTGGTGATCAAAAATCATTAGTTTGATTCAAGAAGATTACAGTGTAGCACAGCAGCGTTAATTACGTGCTGGAACTTCTACCATCTGTGGTTTCACAGTGTCTAATCGTATAAAAGCATTCTCTCTTCTACCTCTCCTTTTAAAGCCTTTTAAAACCGACTGTTTCTTCCTCTGAAAAAAGTGAGACACCAGTGAATTTGACCTTCATGTTTGACGATAACTATCGTGTTTTGAAGAGCTATAAATGCAGAACTGTTTACTATTTTCAAATCTATCACAACAGCAAAATGCAGTTGCAATCCTATAACTTCATCACCGCCATTTCGGTTCCTGCCGGTGTCGCATTCCCACCAGCAACAAATGAGACGTTTCGAATTTCCTCCGCATTATCAAAATCCGAGACGTTCTCCTCAAATAGTAATGTATAAGATAACAGAAGATAATCGTAAATAAGTAAATCAGCTTTTACTGATGAAAGTAATTCAAATACAGGACGAAGAGAGGATACTATATCGTTTTTACTGTCCCAGCCAGTATTCACTATTCCATGCGCGTTAGTGGTAACGTTTCACATCCGTACATCACTACTTTCAGCATGGTGGTAATGATGGGGTGGGTAGGTTTTTCTACTAAAGACATTCTGGGGTCATTGGCAAATAGCATTTGCTCGGCAAATAGCATATGTATCTGTCAATTTCTTCCAGTTCAGTACCATTCAGGTGCGATGTAACAGCAGGCGTGGTGGCACTTTGCATCACTTTCTTTTTTGATGTGTATTCTTCGCTAGTGGTCAGGGTATCTTTCCAATTCGGCCTGCGATACAATAACTCGGAGCAGGCAATTTTTGAAAAGAAAGTTAAAAAAAAGGAAACAGAGCAGAATCCTCGCGCGTTTCGCGTTTTATACGCACTAGAACTGGGAAAAATTTGTTATTTCATATCCTCTCATCAAGCTCTGCGCGTCGTTTCAAGCAACGATTAGTGACTGTAAGAATGGAGCACGAAGAATCACGACTACCATCCAGCATTTGGATGCATTCAGTTACAGCGTTAGCATTCAATCTCCACACCGACTGTCCGAGGTATCTTGATAAATTCTGCGTTATGGGCCTAGAAAAAACTAATAGGACGAAGCCGGTGAGAAAATCCAGTGCGGTCTCGGTGGGAGACATGAATCCGTCTTCGGGTAAAGACCTTGAGATGCAGCTTACTGGATAAATGAGCAGCCAAAATTAAATTAGTTTATTTAGGAACAAATTTTAAACGCCCGTGGCATTCGCCTCGACACCCACCACGAAACTTCATTGTCAGAGTGCTGCAGCTATGCAAGCTAGGCTCCTTTCACAACTTTTATATAAAAAAAAAAACAAGAAAAAAAATCAGAAATTAAATAATAAATGTGCACCTTTTTGCCGCGAAATGATCGCAAAAGAGGTGAGAGTAATTCTGCGTCTACCGCAACTTTCTCTGATTTTCCTGAAAAAAGATTAAAGAAAAAATCCAAAGCCTGAAAAAAGGGCTAAAAAAAAGGGTGAGAGAAAAAAAGCAGAGGCTTGTGTGAGGCGCTCTAAATGAATTTCATATATGTATTTTTCCAAACTGTGAACGTAACTGTACATTTCTGAAAGACAGAACTGGAAAATATACAAAGCTAGGGATACCTAAGAAAAGCTGTAAAATATGTGCGACTAAAGTGGCAACCAACAGGGCAGCAATACTGTAATATTGATAAGATAAGCGGAAGAGCTGAACCAGCCAAGAACTGCTGCAACAAGTTAATATTTCAGGCTGAACTGCTCTGAAGCAATAAATTTTCTACAATATGCATGATCAATACAGTACTGATTTTTAATGTAAAGATTCAAAATAAATAAATGCGAAACCAGGAAACAGAGCTAACCTGTGCAGCGGCTCAACCATTCCATATTCCGGGCTTTCAATAAATGCCAACGTAGCATTACTGTTCTGACATGTTCGATCAAGCGGCAAACCAACAGGCCCAACGTGATTCAACAATGCACCGCCCGCAACGAAAATGCAAAATAATGTGGACGTCAGCTGCGCTATAAAAAAAAAAAAAAATCCAAAATATCAAAAAAAGAATACAGTTCGCAAAAAGAAAAGTCATGCAAGATGATTTTTTGATATTTCCGAGTCAAACTGTGCTTCGTGGTGCAGCGAACTAAAATACAACCCCGACATGGGCAGTGACCCGAAACTGATCGATGGCAATTCAACATTTCTAAGATTTGTTAATTTATTTTAACGAAGAATCTCTACTGAAAATTTTTATTTCGCTGTACATGTCATGCCCAGAAGATTACACTTTCCTCGGCAATTACTGCAAGCCACTCTTCCTTATCCCACAACACAATAAGATTTGTACATAACTAACCTACAAATGCCGCTACACCTTTGATTTTCGGGAAGAACATTCCCAAACAAAAAACACTCAGAACCGGCCCTCCAGCTATTCCAAAAATCGACAGCGAGATCTGCAAAAAATACAACATTATATCAGAGTTCTTCATAAAAGCGTACCAACCAACTTCATAAAAGTGAGCACAGAAATATGCTGACCCACCTGCAAAAGCATTGTATCAAGTAGACT